AGTTACTTTTTTAGGGAGTAACGCAATATTGTAATGCATTACTTTTAAAAGTAACTTTCCCCAACACTGCTTGCAGAACGCAAGGTTCTGGAGGGCGCATAAGTTTGAACTAGCGAGTTTAGGTATATTGGTGCAGCGCCAGTGGTTGTCTTGTAGGCAAGCATCAGTACCTTGAATTTGATGCGAGCGGCTACTGGTAGCCAGTGTAACCTAATGAGGAGAGGAGTAACTTGAGCTTTTTTTTGGCTCATTGAAGACCACTCTCGCTGCTGCATTCTGGATCAGTTGCAGAGGCTTGATAGTACATGTGGGAAGGCCCGCCAAGAGAGCAATACAATAGTCCAGTCTGGAGAGAACAAGAGCTTGGACAAGAAGTTGTGTGGTTTGCTCTGACAGGAAGGGTCTAATCTTCTGGCTAATATTGGCTATTTATTAGTACTTATATAAAAAAAAAACACATATTCTACATGACCATATTCTACATCCCTAATCCTACCCAATACCTAAACTTAACAACTACCTTAACTATTAATAAGCAGCAAATCAGGAGTTAATTGAGGCAAAAGTCGTAGTTAATGGTTTGTTAATAGCGAGAATTGGACAATAAAATAAAGTGTGACCAATAATTCTTTATTAAATCATAATTTGCCCTGTAATCATAATTACATTGCAGTGAATTGTATGTATAAGTTGTGCAAATATTTAGGTAGGGGCACACTCTTCCAATAAGCCTATACTGAATAATTATTCCACCTCAATCACGTGTATGTTTTTAATGGGCATTTTATTTGCATTTATTTATATACTGATGTTTTCATTTAGCATTTTTATTTTTAGAAGTAATTAAGCAAAAATATTCAAAACTTAATGATGTTAACTTACCTGCCCTGCACTTTAATGTCTGAGATGGCATAGAAGTATCTAGAAAGGTTGTTCTCGTCCACCATTGTGGCTCCGGTGGCAGGCCGTAGAAGTCTTATTCGAAGGTCAGTGAGGGTGAAGAAATCCCTTAGGTTCTTGGTGGTGTCCAGCTGCCCATACAGAGAAGCCATGTTGTGCAGTCTCGGGCCGGCAAGAAGGGCGAAGCGGTCTTTGATCTCGAAGCGCACAGTCTTATCGTACTTCCACACGTAGCCCGTGGAATAGGCCTCTGTGCAGATGATCTCTAGCATCGTGCTTGGGTTCAGCTGATGTACTGCTTTTGGCTCCATAGTAAAGGCATCCAAACAGTCCGATGCGTAAAACTGATACGGCTGCCACGTATGACCGTAATCCAGGGACTTCTCCAAGACCAACTGCTCGGGTCGGCCAGACTCAAAGGTGAGGACAATGTCATCTGTGAGTTCTATTGTTTTGTTCCAGGACAGCGTGATGTTGACCTGAAGGGGCTTGGGGTATTTCTTCCAGGAGGTCGACTGCCAGAACGTGGTTGGGTTTCGTCCTTCAGAGTCAAACATGAGCTCGGGCGGGTGGGCCAGCTCTTCGGTATCAGCGTCGCATTCGTTATTACACATATATGGGTTTTCCTGAAACACACACAGAGAGACCGGATGTGTTAATTATGCAGTACGCTAATAGTAACGGGTTTCCCGTTAGACAGTGCCACTCGTTTGAGGTGAACCCACACTGAGATGTTTGATTCTCCACATGAATCACAATGTTAATGAACATATTCTTTGGTGAAAACACTTCAGCCTCCATTAACGCAGTAAGTTGGACGTTTTCTTGAGTTGACTGCTAATATGACGCTCTGAATGGCCATTGCCTGCTTTCAGAGCAGTGTGCCTCATGAGAGCTACTCAATGATTACCCGCTCGCTCACTACCACCCAAATTGTTAATATAATTGATATTCTTGCTTGTTGGCCAGTTGGAATGGGAGTGGAATTCCGATGAGTGGAGGTACACACAGAGCTCCATGCATTTTTCATGCGTCTGTGTCTGCCCTGCGCCGCTGTGTTTCAGATCAACTTTTTCATTAATATTCTGCACACCTCTGAGCCATAGCGCAAATGACAATCAGCCATGAACTTTGAGGAGACGGGCATTAATTTCCGTCTTGTATACATGTTTGATCGGCTGCAATTGTCATACATCTTGTTTTGTTTCAGGCACAAACAGTGGCTGAATGCAATTACAAAAGATGCATAACATCTAAAGGCTCTTGGGACAAAATATTCAGCTTTGTTTGTGGAATAATTTTATCCCCATCGCTGCTGTCAGTGGAAGAACTGACAGATTGTGATGCTTCCTCTCATCAAATTAATTATCTACTCTGCGTTGTTGGATCAAAATGTATTTCCCTTGTTTGTTTAGTCCAGGAATGTTCACAGGGAGATTGGATCTTAGATGCTGTGCTGAGCAAAGACTGTTTCACTTGGGCACAAGTGTTTAGTCAGGCAGAATATACATATCTTTAAAGGAAAATCCATTTACTGCTATTCATGTCACTCCAAACCCATATACTGGTTTCCATAAAGCACAAAATATACATTTTTGAAGAATCTTTACACAATTCTTGCTATACAAAAACAGTTCATAGTAACCAGTGGCTTTCAATCTGCAAATATTACATAAAATGTGTGTGAAAAAAATGTCATATTCCTTTTCTTACTTTAGGTATAATTGTGCACAATTCAGATTTTTTTTTTTTTTCTGAAACTGAAATGTGGTAGCAAACAGAATAGAAAAACAATGGAAATACAATTCGAATTTGAATGAATTGAAAGTCATTTAAAAACACTTTTGAAGGTTTTATAATAGATAATTCGGATCTGTTTGAAATGCCTTACCTTCTGCCTTATTTATAACATAACAGAAGACTCAACCATTTTTAACTGGAATGTACAAGGTTTCCGATGTCAGCCACTTCCAGTTATTTTAGCTGTTTGATATGCTACGTGATGTTGCAAGCTGGTATTTGATACGTATTATTTTATTTATTATTGTAATCATAAACACACTGGTTTGTAGCCCAAACAGTTAATACTGTTTATAGTAGTAATATAATAATACCGTTTCCGGCACTTTGTTATTCTTTTAGTTATAGCGACTAATTCATTGGAAGTCTCACACACTCACAAGAAATTGCTTACATCTACATTGAAAAATAAGGTGAATAGAACTGTATACTGAACTTATTTTTATTAAGCCAATTTATGGATAAAGATGAAAGACTTAATCTCCCAGAATGCCAGAACCTGCTATATTTCTCTTATATAGTATTATATAATAATTTATAT